TCTAAACTTAGACTAACATACATTTTCTTTATTTTCCTATATACATCATGCATAATTTCAGAAACTTCAAAAAGTTTATCATAGGTTAAATCACATACCTCTTCTTGATCTGACTGATCAAGACTATCGGCCATTAAGCACAAATTAGTGACTTCTTCTTCCTTCTCAGTCTCTGATGAATCTGAAGCTGAGTCCGCCTAGAAGGCTCTTTGAAACTTCTTCTTTTCCTTCTTTACAATTGGTTTTCTCTTTTACCTTCTCCTTGCTTAGGAGTAGCTTTGAGTTTTGGGCAATCAGTCTTGATATGACTAGGTTTCCTGCACTCATAGCAAAATCACTTTCATTTGAAACCTTGGCATTTCTATTAATTTATCTCTATTCTAATTACTAGCGTCTCTTCTACTTCCTCTTTAGAAAGCTTCTAAATTGTTAGTCATCAATGCGATGTCGGTCTTCATCCTCAAGTTGTGAGTGTTCACTCTCAGACTCTTCCGCATTTAGTGCTATGTTCTTCTCCTTACGTGGTTCACCTGCATCAATCTTTCTTTAACAAAATCCTTTCTCGTAAGCAATTAGAGAACCAAGAAGATTGTAATAGAGTAAATATTTAGATCTTTAGACTCTGTAATTTGCAATAATTTTTAGCATCATAAGCAGTAGGCAAACAACGAAGAATCTTATTAACCATTTCAGCATTCGTTAGTTCCCTACCCAGTGCATGCAAAGAGGTAACTATTTGTGTGAATCTTGTGTACATATTAGAAATGGATTCATTTAGTTTCATGCAAAATAATTCATAATCATGTAACAAAATATTAAGTCTAGATTGCGTAATCACATTAGTCCCCTCATAAGTTATACAAAGTCTATCCCATATGTCCTTTCCACTTTTTCAAGTGGAAACCAGCATGTAGTCTTCTGATTTTAAAGCACAAAAGAAACTATTCAAGCAATTTGACATTTAGTTTTGCAGTCACGTTCTTCTATTGTCCAGTCCGCAAAAGGTGGTTTCAACTCTAACTCCATCAACTAATCTAGTTGGGTTTTGTATACCCTTCCTGAACTAAGTTCCACATACGATAATCAAGTGATTGCAAAAATGTAGACATGCATGTTTTCCAAAAATCAAAAGGTATATTGTCGAACAGTAGAGGTCTAGTTATAGAGTAACCCTCGGGTGTATTTCGATTTCCAAATGTAGCCATCTACGTTAATCAAAAAGTAGTCTAAACTTATGATTTTGAAACCGGGCTCTGATACCACTTGTTGAAACTCATTCACTATGAATTAGGTTGTTAAATGTAAGCTTATGTCCCACGACTAACCAAGAGGGGAGGTGAATTGGTAATTAAAAATTAATCCCTCTTTTTAATTTTTTAACCAAAAAATAAATTTTAATGAGTTTTGTAGAAATAGATTTTTAAACCATAGTTTTTAAAAGTAAAAACACAAAAATAAAAAGGCAGCGGAAAAATAAAGACACGAGGTTTATAGTGGTTCGGTCAAAACCAGACCTACATCCACTCTCCAGAGGCACCCTCCGAGTATTGCACTAATCCTAATAGTGACTCTCATTTTGCACCCACAGCAAGGCGGAGAAGCCTTTACAAACATTTATTCCACCACTACCCAGTGCGGCAAAGAACCATCGTCCTTTTACACTATCCCTAGTGTTGGCAGAGAACCTTCGTCCTTTTACACTATACCCAATATTGGCAGAGAACCGTCATCCTTTTATACTCTCCCGGTGTATGCAGAGAACCCTTCAGCTGTTCACACTCTCGAAATGTGGGCAGAGTACCCTTCGGCTGTTCACACTCTCCAAGTGTGGGCAGAGAACCCTTCGACTGTTCACACTCTCTAAGTGTGGGCAGAGAATACTTCGGCTGTTCACACTCTCCAAGTGTCGGCAAAGAACCAGATCTCCTTGACAGATCTTCTCACAAGAATTCTAGGAAGAGAGAAAAGAGTGAAGTAATCACAAACCAAGAGTAAAGACTCTTACCTTTGAGTACCAAGTAAAACCTCCACGCTCCAATGGAAAGAAATCTCCTTCAAACACTCTCTCACACTATCTCCTTGACTCTTCTTTCAATAGGCATGAAGATCAATAAGTAAAAAGATTATGTGGCAATTTAGTTTGGACTATTTATAGGAAAGATACAAAAAACCGTCCAAAAACTGTAAATTTTCAAGTCAATACGAAGTGGATCGTCCCGTATGATCGTGGATCGTCCTTGACGATTTTACTTAAATGCTTTAAAAATGAACCTAATGTATATAGGTACGAAATAACTTCGTACACACACATCGTCCCGTACGAACTAGGTTCATCTGGTACAAATGGTTATTCCATAGGTCGGTTACCAAAAATTGCAGAATGACACTTAATTTTTCAGAGTCTGTTCACTTCGTCCTGGGACGAAGTTAACGTTTGTCCAGACAAAAGTTTTACACAGAGCAAATCATCCCGAGACGAATACACTTCGTCCTGGACGATTGTACTCCAGAGAGCAACTCGTCCTGGAACGAATACACTTCGTTCTTGAATGAAAATTTTTCAGAGAACATTTCGTCCTTGAACGAATACACTTCTTCCTGGACGATCAGGACTTAGAAAAATTTTCTTCAATTCCTGTTCGTTCCATTGCTCTTACGAGGAGATAACTAATATGATCGTCCTGTATGAACTATGTTCGTCCTGTACGATCAGTACAAATTTTTCAAAATCTCCTAAAGTGTGTGTGTGTGTGTATTCACTCAATTACAATCACTCACTCTCAAATTTAATTCAAAGAAAAATACAAGATTTTAAATACACAAAGTATCTCATGCTGAATTTGATTTGAAGTCTTTGTAGTCTGGAGTTTGATTTTCCTGAAATGTTAATACACATAAGAGCTAAAACAACTCTTCCAAAAAGTGTTAGGAGATAAAATTATACAAGTTGCAAGAATGTAAAACATGCAAATAGCAACTCTTTTAACAGATCATACGGTACAATTAATGCAAATTTAAATTCTATTAATTAAATATTTTTATTAAACCTTGGTTTACTTAGATCGTACAATACAATCTAGGTCGTACAATACAATCCATATCATATTTGACAATCTTCTCAAAATTTAAAACACTTAATTTTCCTGCCCAGTGTGTGTTTGTGTGCACAGTTGCTAAACTTATATACACCTTTATAGGACTATTGACTCAAGAAATATATAAATAAATAAATCAAAATACATACTCTTGTAAGAATGTCAAACATATTCTACACAAACTTGAGTCCATCCTTTTGCACGATGACGACGTAATTGAAATGTTAGTGTGCACTAAACAAGTATCTAATAATAATATAAGGAGAAATAAAGTACAAATCCAATAATGTTTATTATCATCGAAATCATATGCTCGAGATCTTGGATTGCGATAGGAATGCCATAATGCCTTCGATATCTCCTAAGACGTTGACAATACCAAATATTAACATTAATATTGTCAAGTTTTGGAAGGAAAAAAGAATAAGTTGTTGCCAACTATTGGAAGATATGTCAGTGGGAAAATGCTGGTCGGTGAACTATGTAATTAATATGGAAAGTAAAATCGAGTGACTAGCAAGAGTTCGATATGTCTAGTTGTTTATTTGGTGGCTTCTCAGTGTGTGGTCAATACATTTAACTTGGCTATTTTCCAAAAGATTAATAAGAAAATGTGGGTCAAGAATGTGCATGAAAGTTTAAAAGTCAACATCTTGACCTGCTGGGAAATAAGGGACATGAAAATAGAAGGGAGGAATGTAATACTCCTTTGCAAGAGTGGGATGATTCCTTTCTAAAGCCCAAGCCATATGTATTTATAAGCGCAATAAAATAAGCTCGTTATCTCCCTTGAATAGCTACTACAACTTCTATAAAGGATGTGGGGATGCTTTTGCATTTTAATGCTAAATGATCAACTGTGAAGGACACATGTCATCTTTTGATAGACATTAGATAGATTATGCTCACCTACACATGAATGTGGATGGTGATTATTTAGATTAGGTCTATACAACCCACTAAGTGAGGGCAAAACACTTGGGAAGTGCAAAAGCCAAAGGGAGAGACCCATCTAATAATGAATGCGCCTGGGTAGGTGCTAATTGGTGGAGAGGTATCAACTTAATGCCATTGAGGATGTTAATAAGTTCTTAGCCTAGAGCTCACGGGTCGTCAATATTGACTTTCTTCTTATCAAAAGTTCTCTCTATTTAGTGGGAGGTGTACATAAGTACAAGAGCTTATGCTCATTAAAAACCTTGAACTAAAATTGCTCATAAGTATAAGAGCTTTCTAAAAGTACTCATTTCAATTAGAACAAATAACCAGCACTTATACGATTAGCTTTTTATGGCTTAATTAAATACATAATCTAATTGATAACATTTAAAATATATTTGTTGATTTTACTAGATAAATAACAAATATTTATGATAAACTGTACATATCATTCAATCATCCTTGGTCTTTTATTTTCAGGCTTGATGAAAGACAAAACTGTTACTAAAGATGAAATTAATTCATAAGTTATTTTCAATTAATAAGTAGATTGGAGAGAGATTAAAGTTGAGTTAAATCTTATAGAAATCAATTTATTTTTTAAATCAAGCTAAAGCCTATAAATAATGGTGGATAAATTTGATAATTTATAATAATATATTTTTCCAGCTATGTAATAGAAATCTAAACTCATAATTTCACTTGTCTTAATAATTTTCTTTTTTGCATGAGAACTTTTCAAATAAAACCATCATTCCAATCTCACATAATTACTCCAATAATATTTAATATTATGCAATAAAAGCCTACTAAATCTTATTGAAGCTTCGCGAGTAACTCACTTCTGAATCTTGCTCAACCACATTGGAAAGCAATATAACATTCGAACTACAAACCACATAAACCACTCAATCTCAATCCAATTCTCGGCTATGATATCACTTGTTAGGGAGGGAATCAAAGGAAGATTAAAGTTATGCCATGTAAAATAGTGATTAAATCGACTTTTAACTAAATAATTTAAACCTATGAATAAGTGCTAATTCTCTTGATAGGGAGAGTGCACAAATACAAAACATAAATATTTAAATAAACATGTAATCTATCTTGGCAGATTCTTACCGAAGTACAATAGCAAAATTACTAGAACGATTCAGCAATGTGAAGAGCTCTTAGAGAAATACGCTTCCAAAGAAATACCACCGTAGAACACACATGCTAAGACTACTGGATTTAAAAATTCAAAGCAGCAGCATAAAACTAATGCTTAGTTGTTTTCTTCATAAGCATTGCCTTCATTCTCATCCTTGTGTGGAAGCTCTTCCTCAGATTTTCGTTTCTTAGTCCCCCCATTCCCTTTAGTTCCAGATTTTCTTCCAGCATTCTTTTTTCTGAACTCTGGAGAAAATAACGTACAGGGTCAGATCCAGTTACATACCAACGAATGAATAATAATAAAATAAAACGGACTTTAAATTACCAGACGGCATCTCAATCGTCTGTTAACAACAAAGGTCATCAGACATAAACAATCAGGGGTAAGACGGAACACGAGAGCAATGTTCCAAAATCGCTAAATTTGGTGGGAGATTTTATCGAATGGCATTAAAAATAGATGAGCTCTTCGCATCTAAAAGAGAAAATTTATACGATGCTAGCTACTAGTTTTGGAGCCTAATTTTTATTTTAAGAAGTTTATTATATTATTATTTCATTTATCTTAATTTTTTATAAGGGATTAGAAAAGTGTTTTCTCTCTAATCAATCCATAGAATCTATGATGTAACAGGTCACAATCATCAATACCGTGATATAAATTGTGTTTTTATGTACCCATCTCTTCATTAATTAGATTCATGGGAGTGAATCCACTTGCCAATTGGAAATGCAGGATCTCGATACCTACAAAAAGTTATTTTTGAGATGTGTTGCCATGTATAATCATGCCTGTACCTTAGGCAATCATACACTCGTACTCGTAGAATTTTATTGACCTTGAATTTTAGAATTTCTTACTCCCTCCTTCCGAAAGAACTATATTTATGCTTCTTTTAATGTGAGGAGACAAATCTCATTGACTTCATATTAATGTTTTCATGCATCTTTCTCCTTCCTAAAGAACTATATTTATCTTCTTTTAATGTGAGGAGATAAATCTCTTTGACTTCATATTAATGTTTTCATGCATCTTTAATGAAGGGAGTTTCTTTATCAACTTGTAATTGGAACACCCCACCCCCCCCCCAAACTCCCCCCCCCCCCCCCCAAACTTAAAACCACTACACCATCCGCTCGTATAAAGGAAATGACCAAGGCCTAAAGCTTTGTTGTAGTTTATAATCCTCATTTTTATGAAAAAAAAAAAACAATGTTTGTTGTTTTGATGTCTCAAAAAATTTCTTCTCTTGTAACAAGTATAATTGCAATGAATTTTTTTCTAATTCTCTAATAAGCTTTTCTAGTCATTTCCTCTTAAATAAAATGTCAAGTTCACTTTCTTGGGTGCACTCTAATATCCATAAAAGAGTTCTCCCTCCTGTTTACCAATTCTCTTACCCCTTCCCAAATGGATCCTTTTCTTAGCCTTTTCTCATTACATATAGAGTTTTCGAGAAGAATAAAACAATGAGATAACTATACGAGATGAAAAGGGTCACAATGTGTGTTCTTGGGTAGGAATTTACAAAAATCCTATCAATTGAGAATAAGGTCTAGTTGAGAACCTCAATGGGGCAAACAAACGAGGGCTAAGAGACCTAAGGTAAGATTATTATTGTCTGTCTCGTAATAAAGAAAATTCTATCCAGATCCCATGTTTGATTGGTCCTTTGCCAAAATATCTCACTCTGCAAACCTCAAATTGTATAGTGATATGAATGGGATTTTATCAAGAAGTTATAAGAGATGTAGATACTTTTGCGTTGTGGATGCTGATGCGTGGTCATTACACCAGTATCAATTTTATGATTTCTTCCTAAATGATAAACTGCCAAGATTACTCTGCTCAAGGGAAATGATAATGAGTTGCTTTGGTAAAAATTCAATACACATTGCAAACCCAGGGACAGTTAATCTTTCAGTTCTATGCAACATGAATATTGATTTTAATATTCATAGTAGACAACTATTGTCAAGTCCCAAGTTCTGAATGAGAAAAGTAGAGGTGGTCAACAACTAGCATAAAAATTGTACAAAAATCATGACATAAATCCTTTAATACAGTGTGCTAATGGTAGAGCATTCTTTAGAAGTGATGCGTTGTATGGCCTGAAGACAACAAAAAGTGTATAAGGGTTGTTGCAGCGGTGCCCGGGTGCAGTTTTAAACAGGCAAGAGTTCCCAGAACATGGGCGGAAGTGGGCAAAGAAGCTAGTACATGAAACTAGAATTTAGATAGGATCATGGAATGTAGGTTCTCTTACATGCAAATTAATGGATTTAAATGATATTATGATTCATAGAATGATACAATTCTTTTATGATTTCAAGAAACTAAATGGGTTGGAGAGAAGGCCAAGGAGATTAATAATTTATGATTTAAACTTTGACATTTTGATAGAAGTGGTACTAGATATGGTGTATGTGTGATTATAGATAAGAGTTTGAAAAATAATATTATAAAATTTGATAAAATTTAAGTCAAAATTATAACTCTGAAGATTATTGTTGATGCTAAAAATATTAATATTATAAGTGCTTATACTTCTCAAGCAGGTTTGGATATGTGTTTAAAATAAAAAATTTGAAAAAAAAAATTAAAAAAAATGAAAATCTTTTGAAAAAAAATAGAATAATTCAAAAGATATCTCTTGAAAAAAGAGTTTTTATTAGAAGAGATTTGAATGAACATGTTTATAGAGAGGTAGAGTATTTAAAAGTATTCATGGTGGCTGAGTTTGAAGCGACTGATAAAGGTGATAAAGCTATATTAGATTTTTCTCTAACTTATAATTTTGTAATTACTAATACCTTATTTAAGAAAAGAAATGAGTATCTCATTGCGTATAGGAATGGGATATGTAAAACTTGTATTGATTATTTTCTTATAAGAAAAATTGATCGTTTAGATTGCAAAGATTGTAAAATTATTCCGAGTGAAAGTTTAGGTAACTATTATCGCTTATTAATTTTAGACTTTAAGATGAAAGGGCAGAATATGAAAAATATAATAAAACGTTATTCTAAGAATAGATGGGACATTTAAAGAATAATAACAAAAATATTTTTGAGTATAAGATTTGAGATCTTAAGATTTTATTTGTGCATGAAGAAGTGAATGTTAATTGGGAAAAAAATAACAAGTAAAACTAAGAATACTGCAAAGGATGTGTTTGAAGTTTCAAAAGGAAAAACTCCTAATAATAAAAATAAATGGTGGTTGAATTAAATTGTGCAAGAAAAGATAAAAACAAGAAGCTTTGTTATAATAATTTGTTTAGATGCAAAACTCTAAAAATTGAAAAAGATATAAAAAGTCTCATAAGATATCTAAGAAAGAATTCTACAATGCAATGATTTTAACTTTTAATGATTTATAAAATAAATTAGATTCTAAAGGCGAAAGATATATGTATAAGTTAGCTAGACAAAGATATAGAAGTAGTACGAATTTAATTCAAGTGAAGTGCATTAAGGATGAAGATGAAAATGTGTTTTTTTAAGAAGAGGATATTCAACAAATGTGAAAGAAATATTTAGCTGAGGATTACAATAAAAATTATGAGAATACAATTGACTTTAGTGACCTTAGCACTCTAAATGAAAATAAAGATTTTTATTTTTATCAGCGTAATAGTAAAAGTGAAGTTTGTGAGGCTTTAAAGAAAAAGAAATGTCAAAAAACTAGTACACTTGATAATATTTCAATAGTGGTGTGAAAATGCTTAGGAGATAGAAGAAATTTATTGGTTTAATAAACTTTTTAATATAATTTTGAAGATTAAAAAGATGTCAGATGAGTGGAGATTGAGTGTGTTGATTCTTATTTTTAAGAATAAAGGTGATACAAAAGATTGTAGAAATTATAGAGGAATTATGTTGATGTGTCATACTTTAAACTTTGGGAGAGAGTTGTGGACTAAAGGTTATAACGTCATACTAATGTTTCTCAAAATCAATTTAGATTCTTGCCGGATAAGTCTACTATGGAAGCTATTCATTTATTGAGAAGGTTGACGGAGAAGTTTAGAGAGTATAAGGAGGATCAACCAATAATATTTATTGATTTAGAGAAAGAACATGATACAGTTGCAAGAGAAGTGCTATGGAGAGTTTTAGAAAAAAAAGGGGTTAATAATGCGTATATTCAAATCATTAGGGATATGCATGCAAGATTTGCTACTTGTGTCCAAACACAAAAGGTTGTTTGACCAATTATTTTCCAATTTCAGTTGGATTACATCAAAGATTAGCCTTAAGCCCTAATCTTTTTTCTTTAGTCATGGATGTTCTTACTAGAGATTGTCAAGAGTATGTACCCTGGTGTATGCTTTTTGCTGATGATATTCTTCTTGTTGAGAAGACTAGAGAGGGAGTTGAAGGTAAACTCGAATTATGGAGGTCAACCTCAGAGTCTAAAGGTTTTCGTTTGAGAAGATCTAAAACTGAATACATGTAGTGTAATTTTAGTAATAAAAGATCTAGTGAGGGTTTGCGACTTTGAACGATCAAGTCACTAATAAGTATACTCGTTTTAGATATCTTGGGTTTATTGTTCAAAGTGATGGTGAAATAGATGTGGATATTATTAGTAGAATTCAACTTGGATGGTTCAAGTGGAAGAAAAGTACCACTAAAATTTAAGAAAAAATTTTATAAGATGGTGGTGAGACCTTCAATGCTTTATGGTGCAAAAGAGAAGCATAATATTAAGTTAAGTATTGCTGAGATGAGAATGCTCAGGTGGATGAGTGGATTTGCTCATAGAGACAAGATATGAAACTAGCTTATTCGTGAAAAGGTTGGAGTAGCTCTAGTGACAGATTAGATTAGAGAAAGTCGCCTTAGATTATTGAGATTGAATGGGATACAAAGAGCTGAACACATAACAACATACAAGACTCAAGCATGAATTGAACCTTGAACTCGAGTCTGATGGAACACATAAGACTGGGCTTTGGATGAATGAACAAATCAAAGTCTAAATGCACAGTTCTCTAAGTTAACAACAAGTTACAAGTGGAAGATGAAATCTCGATGCACACGAAAGATGAATGTAAAGAACTCCTAAAACAGTCCCCATAAGGTCAATGCACTATACTTATAAGAAGCAATGGATAGTTGTAAGGTGTACGAGTCCTACCCATATATAGCAATCAAAGATTCGTCCCTACAAGCAAGATCAAATACATCAAAGCAAACCACCCGAGATTGGTGAAAGGGTGGATATGATGCAGAAA